ATTGAAGAAACAAAAATAAATACTGATCCATGAGGTTGTTTGAACAAGAAAACTTATTATAACAATATTTGTGGGACAACAAAAAACTTGGAAACCTTGATGTCTGTCAGTGGGTAGAGAATTAAATAAATTATAGTATGGCCATCTGCAAAATATTGTGTAACTATTTAAAAGAAGGAGTTATTTGTTTAGTTATTGATCTTAAAGGATCTGGTACAAGAGAAACATATACCATAATTTTGTTAAGATAAAAAAAAAAACAACTTTGGGCACCTGGGTGGTTCAGTCAATTAAATATCTGACTCTTGATTTTGGTTCAGGTCATGATCTCAGGGTCCTGAGATTGTGCCCCACATCAGGCTCTGTGCCTGGAGCCTGCTGAAGGTTCTCTCTCCCTGGGGAACCTGGGTGGCTCAGTTAAGCATCTGCTGTCTGCCTATGGCTGGGGTTATGATCCCCGACCAGAATCGACCAGAATCACGCCCCATACTGGGCTCCCTGCTCAGTGAGGATTCTGCTTCTCTCTCTGCCTCTCACCCAACTCTCATGCTCTCTCTCTCACTCTCTCTCTCTCTCAAATAAATAAATAAAATCTAAAAAAAAATTCTCTTGCCCCTCTTTGCTGGCACTTGTGTGCATTCTCTCTCTTTCCCTCAAGGAAAGAAAGAACGAAAGAAAGAAAGAACAAACGAATGAAGGAAAGAAAGAAAGAAAGAAAGAAAGAAAGAAAGAACGAAACCTTGTGAATGGGTTCATGTCAATGTTTTCAGAGCCTGGGGGGAAGTATGGAAGGATACACATCAGTCTAATCACAGGGCAGGGTGGGTTAATTTGTTTTCCTTCTATGCGTTGCTTTGGTAGTTACATAAATACTTCCATGTTTCAACTTGGGAAGAGGAATTTAATATAAATACTACCTTATAATAAATTTTCATAATATAAATAGCAGCAGAGAGAAGAGGAAGAAGGGAAACTGTCAAGGAAGCTCCAAGGTCAGTTCTGGGAGAACCTAGGGATTTCACGCTGGGGGTTTTTAGACAGTGAGTGAGAGCCAGGGCGGCAGGGGTGTGGCTAGAGGGTCTGAGAGCACAGTCTGTGTGGAGCCACTGACTTAATTCAAATTTATCTAGAGCATCCTCTAAGAAGGCCAGAGTGGGGTGGAGCACTGGGTAGCCTCCAGCAAGAGGAATTTAAGCTGCTAGACTATGAAGAAAAGCTTCCCCAAAGTATTATGGGTCATAATGAGTCTTTCTACTAGGGTTATTTTGAAGAATTCAGCAAGACTTATCGGATTAAGCTGGTATGGAGACAGGAGGAAGCAAAATACCTAACGTTAGGTAAGAGGCCAGTAGTGGGAAAATGGTTTACCTACCTTATCTCATCGGAAACAAAAATGCAACCCAACAAGGTAGGTATGATTATCCCCATTTTACAAAGGAGGAAATGGGGGTTGAGTAACCCACCCAAGATTATGCAGCTGGTAAGGGGTCTTTTGGCTCTGTAGTCCACACTCTAAAGACCTTGTCCTACCAGGGTGAGAATCTGGATGGGAGTATTACCCTTCCCCTTCACCCCATGGGGCTCAAGTGGGCAGGGCTGGGCAGGGTTTCTCTTTATTCCCAGGTTGGGGTTTGCAGTTGAGGTTCTGGGCTCCAACATCAAGGAAGAGTCCCTGAGAGACAATGTTCTTCTCCTTGGGGGAGGAGGGAACAAACTACAGCATTACAAATTCCCTGATGCCCCACCTGTGGTGACTTGAGGGCTCAGGGCTTGCTCCAGCCACACAGCTGACATCCTCACTGCCCCGTCCCCACTTTATTTTCACAGTAGGGGCAAGGGAGGAGGGAAGCAATGCTTTACAGGGGTGAGACTAGTGGACCTTTCCTCTGGTCCCATGGGACCAGACCATAGACTGTTCCAGAGAGTGGACACCTCTAGGACTGGCGGTGTCCAGCCTGGAGCTGCGGAGGTGGTGGGGGGGGGGAGAGCTTTGTGTGTGCTGGGCTGGGGGTGGGGGTGGGGCGGATAGTGGGAGAGGGAGTGTTTGGAGACCTTCCAAGAAGCAGCTCTGCCAGGATCTGAAGGAGTGTCAGGAAGAGGGGGGGAAGGGGGTGGGGGAAAAGGAGGAAGGGGGGAAGGGGCAAAGGCTTCATCTCCTCTCAGCCATCTGATGTCCCCTGGGATGCGCTCAGGTGCGAGGTGAGTGCTGGCGCTCCTGCCCTCCACGGACTTCACTCCCACCTGCCTAGCCCAGAGGTTCTGAGGCTCGGTGATGACCATGACCCTACCCTTGAGGCTCCAGCTGGAATGAAAGCATCTCTGGATTTACAGAAAGAGAATCTGCATGGTGGTCCTTGTGCTCATTCGTTTCTCTGAGAGTCGTGAACGAAAATCAGCCCCAATTTCTTCTCTATCCTCCGCAATTCTACCATCTCCACCTGGAAATTTCTCCATTATCTCCTTCTGTGTTTAAGAGGACTGCCTTCCTCTCTCCCCTCTGCTGATTGTCTCTGGATGTTTTCCCCATCTTCCTCTGCATCCCCATTTTCCAGGCCCTCCTTCTCTTGCCACCTCCTGGTTCCCTCTACTTCCCCCTCCCAAGGGCTCTGGAGCTGACCTCTCTAATATTTTCACCAGGATAACCAAATATTACACTCAAGTGAACCTTTGTGTCTTGGATCTACTTGGGCAGGGGGAGTAGAGTGAAGAAAGGCGCTTCTACAATCCCAACAAGTCCTCAGAGGCTCAGGGCCAGTGCTGGTGGGCTGCTTGGAGAGGTGGACATCGGTATGACATTTCCTTGGTGCACGAAACCCACTAGGATCCCCATCCCCATCTGGGTGAGGGGTGTGCGCACCCTAGTTAATATCTCCCTGAGCTGGGAACAGGGTTTACTGCTTTGCTGCTTAAAAACATCAACTAACATATGGAGATGTCATCATGATTAAACAGCAAATTATAGTCGAAGACGGCGCGATAATAATCTAAACAATCACCACAACAAGAAGAAATGTTCTCTCACGAGCCAGATGCGGCAGCCTGTGTTTCTGAGACTAGCGCCCCTGCCTTCCTGGGGCTCCCCCCTCCCCGCCCCGAGCGCACTTGCTGGTGGTACCGGCCTAGGACAGGGCAAATGAGTCCCCAACAGGTCACCGATCTTTCTCGAGGCACTGGTAGGATGATCTGGGACAGGACGGAGTGGGGGCGCGGAAGGACGTGGCGGTGGAGTGCCCTCCCTCTGGGAAAGCAGTTGGAGCCACAGGAGGACGGGGCTCCTGGAGAAGAAACTTGAGAGAGCAAACAAGCCCGCGTTCCCAATCCTTCCCGCCCGTCCCCTCTGTCCCCTCTCTGAGCCTCGCCTCCTCCCAGATCTCGAAGGAGACAGATTTCCAGGTGGGAAACCCGCGCCGCTAGGGGAGGGGCGTCCTCCGTGTGTCTCGGATGTCTCCCTTCTCCCAAGCCTGGGAGAGCAATGCGTGTATTTTCCTTTGGCCAGCCAGGGGCCCAGCTGCGTGCACCGGTTCGCCCCCAGCCCTCCTTGGGAAAGATGCCGGCAGGAGGCGGCGAGCTCTCCAGGCAAAAAAAGGAAAAAAGAAAAAATGATAGAAGACCCTCCCTCTTTCCCCTGTTCTCCTCCCCCTCATTAAATAGATTCGTATTTAAAACAGGCTCAGGCATTTTAATTTGAATTCCAGGGACTGCGCTTGGGTTAGAATCATCCTACCTCTACTTGGACCGAAAATAACCCCTGAAACGAAATGATCAAAACCAGACGCTATTTTCCAAAACAACCAACGTTCCCTGTGGGTGACCATTCCACGCAGGCAGGCAGGATCTCCTTTGCTTCTGGCTGAGAATAGGGGATCGACGGAGGAGGGGCTGGGTAGAAGGTGGAGGGCGAAAGTATTCCCAGGAGAGGCCCGGCGCGGCGCGTGCGTGGACTGGCCGCCGTAATATATGCTGCCATTAAGAATCCGGGCAGGTTCTAGCGCTCGGGGCGCAGGGACACATGTGTTGCTGGAATTCAATCCGTGGGGGGAATGTAGATTGGGCTGCGACCTACTGGGTTTGATTTATGAACTGTTACTCTAGCGATTGTTTACACATTACATTTCAGAGCCGCCGCGCACCCTCCCGGCGGCGGCCGGCTCGCTCCCCGGCGTGGGAACCCGCCGCAGCCTCCAGGGCCTCGCTACACCAGACCCCCATCCCCACCCCGCGGGACCCCGCCCTCCCCCCTGCAGCTCCCTCTGCCCCCTCTCACCTTCTCCTAGAAATCAGATTTCGATTTCCTTGAACCCACACACAGACGCTCAGTTCTCCCTCCCCCAGCCTGCTCCAGTTCCCGCGGCCTTGGACCCCGGTCTCCTCCGCCCTAGATTACTCTCGAATGTTTACTTCTCCGTAAGGCCATGCGGGGCCTATAAATAGGAGAGGTGGAAGCAGCTCGACTGCCAGATCAATAGGGCCCCGTCTCCTCGCCATTTCAGCTGAGCTGTCTTATTAATTATGAAAGGATTCACCTGATCCCTGCCAGGGACCACAGCCTCTCCTCGGCCCCTCTGCTAGAGCCCTTAATGGCGGTTCGTTCGCAAGCTGCCTCCGGCCACCGCAGAGGAAGAGGCGAATCGTGGTTAGGACTCGGCCTGCACCGATCGTGGTTAGGGCTCCGACCCGCCTGGGGCGGGGGCCGCAGGCTGGGCACTGGCCTTGGGTCTGCGTGTGTTTTCTCGCGCAAGCCCAACCTGCCCGAATCCTCACCTACTAAAGATCTCTGCTTTTTATTTATTGAAAATACAACGTCCTCTTTCTCTTCAAGTAAACACGATTTCAGAAAACTGGCAAAGTGACCTAGTTAAAGAGGGTCTGCTTGAAGATGACAGGTTATCTGCTGGCTGGCGAACAGGTGCTTGTATACTCCAGCGTCCCGTGTCCCTACGGAAACGCCGGGCACTGGATCAAGAAAGCAGGCTTGGGGCAGGAAACAAATGACACCCCCATTTCAAACAATAACTTTTATTTTATACTTCTCTATACTTTGTAGCAAATCTTTTTTTGCTGAATTTAATTTATAATAAACTTTTTAAATTACATCTCTCTCTTTTTTTTTAAAATCAAGGCTCTTTTATGTCAAAATCTTTTTTTAACTATATTTTAGATTAACATTTAACACCCCCCCCCTTGTGATCTATACCGTTGGATATTCAGGTATTACTGTATGTGTAACAGCTAAAACAAGAGGGAAAATAAAGGCAGTGGACTTGGAAAGATGCATCGACAACAGCAGGTAAAGCTTAACCTCTCAGTGACTTTAGCAGCGATTCTTCTGGAAGCCTTTACCTAGACACCCGAGATTTCCTCAATCCCTTCCCTCTCTCCCTCCTATCCTTAAACCACAAAGCCAACAATCTGTCCTTTCACTTTCCTCGAGGAGAAATGTGCAGTGGAAATGATCAAAACAAGATACTGTGGAAGAAAGACGTGAGCGTGAATTATTCACCATATGCTTTCCTCGTGGACATCTCTCTTGAATTCATTCCCCTGGCCTTCTCCTCTCCTCTCTTTCCTATTAGGAGGAGCCCATCATTTGTCATGTATTAACATGATTAATATAGTAGGTGGCCCAGGGCCTTTCCTGAGATTCTTGTGCCAAAAAATAAAAATTAAAAATTAACAAAAAATGGGGTGGGTTTGCCGTTTTCTTATTTTTGTGTGAAGACGGACTAAAGCTGAGGTCCGATTTGGGCTGTGCTTGCTTGCTCACTGATTGGTAACATTTGGCAAATAAAACACAAGAAATCAAACGAAATCAAAAGGAGAATCAGGATTTCCCACAATCCTATATGAGTGTTTTCAGCATCACAGAGAATCACAACGTCCCCAAAGAACGAATGGATCTTCCTCTCGATTTCCGGGAGCATGGAGTGAATGCGGGTGGGCGCGCGGGGGGAGCCGGCCCCGCGCTCAGAAGGAAAGCCAAGTCGCTAAAGCAGCGGAGAGAGACATCAGGAGCACGGGGAGCGCCGGGAGCAGGGACCCCGCCGCCCCGTTGCCGCTGCCGCAGAGTTCGAATAAGCTGCCTTGGATGTTGAGGTTTTTGGATTCTTTTCTCAGTTTATCCCACATATCTTTCGCCCCTTCCTGGCAATCCGTAAGGGCTGTGACCGTGCAGCTGTGGAAATCCTCCCAGTATCTGGCGAGGAACAGAAAAAGGAAGAAGCAGGTTGACTTTGGGCGCGGGGAGGACCCGGGCCTGCACCCCTGCGCCTCCTCCCCACCCCCACCGCCTCCACCCCGCGGCCTCCGCAAACCTCTGCGGGAGCCACCCCCCCCACCTCCTCTCCACCCGCCCGGCGCCCGGGTCGAGCTAGGTTTGCTTTCGCCAAACCTCGGCCCACCCTGGAAGCCGACGTCCGAGGGCAGAGACCGCCCCCGGCGGCGTCTGGTTTCTCTTTCCCGCTCCCAGGCGGGGACCCGGCAGCCGGGAGCCGGGCCGCACCCGCAGCGCCGCGCTGGCACCTCGGCCTGCGCAGACAGATTGCTCGTCCTCCTCGGGGAAAGCTAGGAAAACAGTGCTAAGCCTTGCAAGCTGCCGCCCATTAATGCCTCTTAGCTTGCAAGATGGGTTACTTGCTCAGAGCAAGGCCCTCCCCTCTTGGCTTCTCACTTTCTCCTCCCCCTCGTCCCTTCTGTGTCCCACCCCCCCTCCTCGCTGCGGTACTCCCTCGCCTTCGCCCGCACTCTCCCTCCTCCCTTCCTTTTGTTTCCCGTCCTCCGATTTTCCCATCCCTTCCTCTTCCCTTCTTTGTCTTCCTCCTTTTCCCTCCCCTCGGTTTTCCTCTGTTGAGTTCCTCACTTCCTCTTCCTCCTCCTCTCCCCCTCCTCTTCGGCCCTCCGCGACCCCTGGCCTCGCTCTCCACAGTCCCCCGGCTCAGATTCCGTCCGGAGACTCCTGCCTGCCTCTCCCCTCCCCGAGTCGGTGAGTGTCGGTGCCCTGGGACCAGCCTGTAGCCACCTTCTGTTTTTGCAAATCCCAGTGCTCCCGGGCCTGCACGCTCGGTCCCTCCTTTTCTCCCGCTCCGGAATCCTTGGGCCCCAGGAAGCCTCCTCCCCACGGCCTTCCGGATACGGTGTGCAGCCCCCCAGGCCGGGACTCCGGTGCCGCCGCGGTACCCTCCGCCAGCCTTCCAGGGACCCCGCTCTCCTCCTCTCTCCTCGCCTCTACCCGTAGCCCCGAGCCTTCTTCCCCAGCCACTTCCTCCCCCCTTCGGCTCAGCTCCTAGCCCCGCCCCCACAACCTTCAACCAACCTGTCCTTTTTCATTATTGTCCCCCTTTCTTCCGAAAACCCAAAATAGATCCCGAGACTAAATATAATTCCAACCCGTGATCGATTCCTAGGGCGCTGTCTCCTTTCGGTGCTGGGTCGATCCGTGCGTCTCGGTAACTCCGAGCTGGGCTGGCTCCCACTTCACCCGGGCCTGTAGCGCCAGGTCACCAGCAATCGCCTTCCATGCAATTTGGTTGTATTTTCTCCTATCCCTCCCTTCTGCTCGCTAGCCTGGACTGTAAGTGCGTTGAAGGCAAGCACCATGTTTGATTTATTCTTGTTTGCACTCCTACCCCATCCTCTGGCTAATAGCAGAGATATAAATGCTTGTTTAATTGCCTTGAGCTCTGGCTGTTTTCTAACGACCTTTGTGAGTCTCTAATTTATGAGGACGGGGGAGCCTGGAGCACAGGGCTTCCAGGTTCCTCACTTCATAAAAAACAGCAAGATTGAGAGAAACCAAGAGGCGGAGGGAAAGCTCTCTTGCTGTCATTTGCACCTCCCAAAGGATGTCTAAAGCTCCCCTTTCTTTATGCATGCCCAGATGGGGACAGGACCCTCCTGGAAGAGGAGTATGGTGATAAAGGACAGATATCCACATGGTACTGAGAGGCGGTGGGTTTCAGCAGAGTGTTGAGCAACCAGAATCATTAATGAAGTGGAAGCCCAGACCCAGCAGTGGCCTGCAGCCTCTGGAGGATGGGGTGGGCAGGGGGTTGGGGAGGATACTTCTATCCTCCAGGACCAAGTCCTGCAAAAAAATTAAAATAACTTGCAAAAACTGAATTCTAGCAAATAATAGAAGATTTGGGAGCCAATCTATATCTAACCTTTTGTCAATCTTCATAAAACTACATTCTTACCTACCACCAGACATTTGGAATTAAAGTAGGTGGGTATGCAACCCAGATCAGGCTTTTGTCCCTTTTCTGATAGGAAGGTACCAGCTACCTAGCTGCTGCGGCTCTTGGTGGATATCAGGGTACTTAGGAAAATGTGTAGCAAAATTGACCCCCATTTAATTACTCACTGTTTAAACAAATAAATGCTCCCTCCCTAGGAATTAGAGAAAAAGGACTTTATTGTATACAAAGGATGGTGCAGAAAATGGTTTCATCAACCTGTGGGAGCCAAGGAATACCTCTTGCCTTGGCTTTTTGGTTAAGGCGAGAATTGGGTGAGGGGTGGGAGTTACAGCTTTTTTTGAAAAATAAAATAAAGTAAAATAAAATAAGTGTGTGTGTGTGTGTGTGTGTGTGTGTGTTATAGAGGACACAGGTACTTCTAAGGTCTGCAGTAGCTAAAATGTTGCTGGTCTACCACAGTAGGGTTCTCTGCTAGTTACCTCCTTTCCTAGTGGGAGCAGTACTTTTCAGCCAAGCTCTGGGAAAATCCACTGTACCTGGCCAGGTACCTAGCCCTTACCTGCCTGTGGCCTGGGGATACCAAGCAAATGCAGAGAGGAAGGTGGGGGGGGGGGGGACAAGAGGGTGGCTAGCCCAGACCTCTAATCTGCCACAGACTCAGGAGAGATGGTCACTGGATGCCCATGACATACTTTTCTTGGGCAAAATCATTGACACTAAATAAACTATTCTTCCAGCTTCTCTCTTAGAAAGAGAAAGAGGGACCCGCGCTCCCTAGCCTGCCCCCAAGTGTTCTTCGTGTGTAGCAGAACGGGGTTTTATCAGGGGAAATGGACAAAATAAACCATTGACATTGACCTTTCCTTTATGCAAACCTGAGGTATTTCCTAAAACGCTCCGCAAACCAAAACCAAGTCTTCTTCGGAGAGTACTTGGCAGTCCACTCATTCACGCACGCAGTGGGGAAAAGAAAATGACGAAGAGTGCCTCAAAGTAGAGCGAGGAACCGCCAGCAGTTTTCTGCCCTCTCTCTGGGTTCTAGCGCGCCTAGTGCCCCCGCCTCTGTGCCTGCGGGTGAGGATGCGCTAGGCTGGGGCCGGCTCCCGCGTGGGAGGGTCCACCCCTGCCCATCTCAGACCACAGGACCCCACTTGGGCAGTGCAGACCCTGGCCGAGGCCTGAGGTCGGGAGCCCACAGCCCAGCACGCTCTGATTCGCGCTGGCGGGGAATTCAGAGCGCAGGCCCGCAGCCAAGCCCGCACGGACCTCAGCAGCGCCCCCCGGAACAGAAACCCAGCAGGCCAAAGTGGACACTTACGTGCACACGGTCTTGATGTTCGTCTTGTCGTCCAGGCCCTGCGGGTAGTTGGCCATGCTGTCGCCCAGCTTGAGCAAACAGTCCGAAAAGCCCTTAAAGACCGCATCGCACTTGCCCGCTGCTCTCACGGCCTGCACCAGGTACGCTGCGGGGAGGAGGGGACACTGGTCAGCAGCGTCGCGACCCCGCCCGGCAGCCCCCGCGGCCCGGCAGCCCCCGCGGCCCGCCAGCCCCCGACTCGTTGTCCAGCCTCGCGGGACGCCAGTGTTAAAGGTAAATGAAAGATGTGGCCCAAGAGTGACTGACCCGCCCCCAACTATAGACTTGTGCGGACCGTCTGCGCGCGAGCGGGTGCGGGAGGGGGAGGCGAGTCCATTCCTTTCCTGCAGCTCCCTCCCGCATCTCGCTCTGCATCTTTTTCTGTTTCCATCGCCCCCTCTTCTCACCTCCCCCGTCTCTTTTATTTCTCTCTTTCTCCTCACTCCCTCCTTCGTTTCCCAACACTTCCCCAGCAAGTCCGTCCTGGCTCTCGAAGTGCAATCTTGCATTTCTGAGGTGACAGAGGGGGTAACGGCAGCAGAGTGCGGGGGTGACGAAGGGGTGAGGAGGCGGGATAGCGTGGGGGCCACGGAGCTGAACCTCTAGCCACGTCTTGCGAGAAAGCCTCGGGCTGGCTCCCCGTGCTTGGTGGGTGCTCAGCAAACACTGCTGAATGACTAAATTAATAAAGTCTCTGGAAGCCAGCAGCAGCCATCGAAATGGGTTGTTTATTATAAATCGGACTGCCTACCGTGGAGTATGTGTTCCGAGTGAGATCGTCGCACTCACCCTCCCCACCCCACTGGAGAAAGAGCAGCCTTGGCGTCCAGAGACTGGCCTGGGGTGACGAGTGGCCGGGGCACTCGGGGCGGGCAGAGTACCTGTGTTGGCACAGGGGCCCGGGGGCCGGATCCGTGAAACTCTGTCCGCGGCTCAGCTCCCCACACACCCCGAAAAACCAGCCACCAATCCGCCTGCAGCGGGTGGGACCTTTTCTCTCCAGGCCCCAACCCTGAAGGGCCCAGATTGGCAGTCGACCCGGGGCTCCCGGCATCTAGCTCCGGGTCCATTCCAGTGGGTGAGGCTGGGCCGGGGGCGGGATGGCGGCGGGGACCAGGGGAGGAAGGGGAAGGGAGGAGGTAGGTAACCCGAGCGGCTCCGAAGTCCTCTCTCCTGGCCCCGGGGCCGTCAAACCCCACGGCGGCGGACTGCGGCTGCCAAGGCCGTTTCTCTCCACCCCTAGGCCAACGAAACAGGCTAAACGTTCCTTGGTGCTCGGCCAGAAGCACGTAGAGGGGCCAGGAGGGGAGCAAGAACCGTTAATCCACGCGGTTGGGGCTCGGGGAGCAGAGGGAAAGGCCGATCTTCTCAGAATCAAAATCGGCCTCCAGTACCCACGACCCAGAGCGCAGGCTCCTTCCTGGGGAGGATTCTTGCCTCCAGGGCTTGTGTGTGAATGTCTCCGAAGAGGACCATACACCTCACTGCCCCCGCTACCCCCAGCTGCTGGTCCCCGAGAGCCGGGCCAGACACAGACAAGAGGGAAGGTGACCGAACCTGCAGCATCCGAGAGCTCCCCGTTTGCAAATTGCGGCAGGAAGAGCGAGGCGGGCCTTGCGCTTTCTAATCCGGAACGGGAAGCGCAGGGGAAGGGACTGAGGTTAACTTCGACCTCGGCTCGGGCAGATACGTAAACCTTCATGAATCTCCCTCCCCCACCCCCGAGAAATAATAAAAGCCCTTGCGACTGCAATATCAAATAGAACGCTGAGATAGAATAAACGAATCTTCGTTCTAATAGAATCGGTCCCAGGGAAACGAGCCCTACACACCCTCCGCTACCACATGCCACAAATGCAGCTTTGCAGCGCCGGAACCGAGTAAAGTACAGTCCCTCTTCCCCTCCCCCACCCAGCTCCCCGTCTCTCCTTACCCTTTACCTCCACCCCCAAAACTCAGTGGCAAAAAAGTATCCCCTAAGATGCGCTGGCAATATTTTAACGAGGGAACTGGGGCTCGCCGGGGGCAGGAAGCGCTCCCGTCACGTTATCTTTGCGGGAACTGCTGGAAAAGAACCTCCACACCGCGCATGTGTGAGTGTGTGCGTGTGTAAAATAAGGAGTCGTGAAAATTTCTGTTTTTTTTTTTTTTTTCCCAACTATAACTGCTTCGTCTCTAGTTCGCTGTGGGAGGACCGGAGTTTGCGCGCGGGACGTGTTTTGAAGCTCATGCAGCCAAGCAGGTCACAGCCCGTGCGACCCTCGCTGGCCTTCCTGAATCGGGCTTCAGCGAGGCTCGGACGGGCGACCTGGGCTCCTTCCCTCTCCTCTCCGGTGTCCGCGTCTTGTGCCTTTTCCATCTGTTCATTCATTCGTTCGACCTCTCATTCATTTCAAACTTCCTCCCGCGTGTCTTCATTTGCGTTCACCATCCTCTCCCATCTCCTCGTCCCTTCCCAACCCCCACTTTTGTTGCCAAATGTCAATGATTTGGGACAGCTCCCAGCCATGAATTAAAGATTGAGGCTCTGGTGCGGGAAAGGGCAGACATTCGGGAACAAACATGCTCAATTTCAATTCCACAGCCAACAAATGGTCATTTTCCCGTCGAGGTTAATGTGTTCCAAGCGTATCCCGCATGCACAATCTTTCTCTCTCTCTTTTTAAAAACCCCTCCAAAGTAAGGTTATTTCCCTCCAGGAAAACAGCCCTGAACCTGCTCCGCTTAAAACCCTATTTCAAAAATAACTACTATATCTTGCTCTCTAAAAATTTGCAGGCTAATTGCAAAATGCCACATTCACTTACTTCCCACACTTAAGGGGTTTTCTGCAATTATAATTTTTAAATTTTATTGAATCTCTTTGCACTAATGTCAAAGATTCAGAAGAACCAGATTCAAAATATCAAGTCAATTCTTAGAATTAAAGGAAAATGCCAACATCCTGCACACAGTCTTAAATTCCTGTAATGTTCATGCAAAAAAAAAAAAAAAAACCACATACACAAAATCATGTCAAATGCATTTAAAAAAACAACACTGCAAAGAATCCATTTTAATGTGTAGATAACTCCAAACCCCGTTTCCTCCACATTTCTCATGGAGAAAAATATTACACATTTTCTGCTGCCCCATTCCCTAAAGGATCCTCCTATCCAAATACTGCAAGGGTTTGTCTGTAAAGAATGCTACAGCCTGAAATGATATGAGGCAACAATTCCCTCGGTCTCCAGAAAACCCGTTTGAAGAGTTTCTATTTTTTCTCTTGTCCATTCTATTAATAATCTACTTCACTTTCACTCTTAGGTCAGGTTAATTAATGCTCCAACCTGCATTGAAGAAGTGGGGTTTCTAGTGCTGCCTTCCATCACGTCTTCCTCATTCTGGATGGAAAAACGTGAACTTTTAAAAGCCCCCAAACAGTGTAACTAGGACTCAACATTCCTTAACATAAAATGGGGACTAAATAAATCTGACATAATTAACCCCAAGCAAACAAAAATAACAAACCAAACCCCCAACGTGACATACAGCATTACACTTCTTAACCCTTTCCTATATATAAAATTCGGATACCTATAAGGAAATGAACAGGCAAATATTCATAGAAAATTATATCCACGTATAATTGGCTGAATTCAACCTCCTCAATGATAAGCATATTAAAATATGTACTCTGGGGTTCCCTATCATTCTCAATTTGCCCCCCCCCCCCCCAGCCGGGTCTGCGGTGCCCGGTGCAAACGCTGCAGCTAGGATATGGGGGGTAGGGGGGCGGGAGAATGACAAAGTTCTAAATGCAGCAGTCTGAGCCCCGAAATATCTTTGCTTTCTGCATATAAACTTTCCATTCTAGCTGCCTAGCCATCTTGTTCCTGCATTCACCTTTCGACCCTTCAAAATAATACCTTGCCGTATCGCAGGGGCCAATGCATTGCCCCAGAACCCACAAAACCTGGTCTAACCCGAGAAAAGGAAGCAAAAATGGATGTGCGCTTTGGGGGGAAAAGGGGGGGGAAGCCCCCTCCTGAAAACGGCCAGCTGCATACATTTCCTGGCAAAGGTTTGGAGTCTCTCTCTCTCTCTCTTTTTTAAAGAAAAACCAACTCGGGACGCGCGAGTCCCTAGGAACCAATGCCCCCACCCTTGGGGGTTTGCCGGCTTCTCCGCACCCCGAGGCAGCCCCGGGCCAGTCGGTCCCCCTGGGCGCCTCGGACCTAGCGGGCTACCGCCTGCCACAATCCGCAAGCCCGGCCGGGCGGCCACTTACCTATTTGCACCGCGAGGATCAGTGAAATATATCTGCCGTTCAACTTAAGTCCCATCCTACGTTTAGTCAAACCATTTGCGACCGCAGACCTTTAAATAGTTAGTTTAGAGAACGCGGGGGAAAGCTGAAAAATAGGCATTGCCAACAAGTTCCAAGAGCGACGGAGACTTTATGCACGGGGAAGGCAGAGGGAGGAGAGAAAGAGAGGGAGCGAGGAAGAGAGAGAGAGAAAGAGAGAGAGAGAGAGAGGCTGAGAGAGAGAGAGGGGGGAAGAGCTGGGAATGGTTCACTCCATTAGGAGGGGGCGGAGGAAGTACAGCCTCACGCCCACGAGCAGGCCTGACGTGGGGGATGACACGGAATGATTTTTTTTTTTTTTAAATAAAGACACCTTGGTAGAGAATCGCCATTTATAGTCATCAGACGCTGGAATTAATCAGATATCTCCAATTAATGTGTGATCCAAACGAATTCTCGCCTCCCGGGGGTGACCACTTCCCCGTCCCCGCGGCCACCCCCGCCTCCTAGCTGTTCCCCGGGCCCCCAAACCCCGCCTCCTCCCTGCGCCGAACAGGGGCTCCCTCTCCCCACCCCGCCTGCAGCCGGGGAGTCCTGGCGCGCCCACTCGGTTATTTCAACTTGCTTCCCCCTCCACCATCAGCTCAAAAGAGAATCCAGCCCCCTATCCCTACGTTGCAGTGGGGTTTAAAAGAGCGAGAACCGGAGAGGGAAGACAGTTAAAGCAGTTCTATCAATTCGACATCCCCCCTCAGACCCCTGCCTCCTGCACTTGCCTACCCTCTTTCTCTCTAACCCAGTAGCTGAGCTCTGGGCTTAGCCTAGAGCGCGTGAGCACACACTCACGCACACACTCGCGCACGCCCGCAAGCAGAGCGCCCCCGTGCCCGCCTGCTCACACTGCACGGGAGCGCGCGCACACGCGCGGCACACGCCCAGGCCCCAGGGGTTTGGTCCGCGCCCGTGGGGCCCCTGAAATATACACCGTTTGCCCTCTGTGAATTTCACCACTTGGGACGCCCCAGCCGGCAAGAGGCCGACTCACAAGACACAGCGACAACTGTTTGGGGGGACAGGAGAGCACGGAGAAACGAGCCTCTGCAAAGATGATTTTCGGATACTAGAGATTTACTAACTCTCAGAGCTTTAGGAAATTTCCTAGGCCATTGATAGAATGCGGGGCTCTTTCTGATCCCGATGCGCCTCTTGGGGTTATTTGTTGAGGATACACACACGCGTACACACACGCACATCACGTACGCACACGCACGCACGCCTTCACATACACCTGCACTGTCTTTTGATGCTCAGGCACAGACCCTGTGTAGACGCAGCCTGCTCTGCAACGGAGTGCTTCTGCAGCTGCGTGTGTGCTCGGTGCAAGGTGCTAATGACGGCCGCTTGAGTTAAGAATGAAAAACAAACAGGGCTATTGCCTTCCTAAAGGCCGTTAGGCTTTGGTTTCTTTCCCTTCTGCAAGAAAAGATGACTAAATCCCAGTTTTTTAAATCGAAAGCTAAAGGCAGCATCAGCCAAATTTAAGCCCTGAAGAGAGAAAACAAAAACCAAAAGACAGAAAACAAACAAACAAAAAAAACAAAACAAAAAGAAAAGAAAAAGACGCCCCCCAAATCTTTCAAAAATACACGGGAACATATCGAAATATTAAATTGTCAGTAGAAATGCAAACGGATTGAAGAGCTATCGAATCGGATTTACTTCTTCAGGCAGCGTGCCATCTGCGCTCCCATCTCAGGGTCCCCACACTCTCTCAGACATTTTGCAGATTCAAAGTCAGAGAAAGGGGCAAAACAAGAGGGGTGCTGTGGAGAGTGAGGGTCTGAAGGGGAGTGCGGGGTACTGACTGCAGCACTTTGTGACGTGGAGCCTCTGCACAGGGAGGCCGCTTCCCCGCGTCCCGCGGGAGTCGCAGACTCGGAGGTGGGGGCACTGGCCCCGGCTCCGGGGGCGGAGCCATGTAGCTCCACCTCTGGTGACATCACCAGGCTGGCGGGTTGGGTGGCTGGGGGCCCGCCTTTCTAGCGTCCAGGGGCTCTGTGGCAGTCCCGGTGTTTCCTTTCCCCGTGCTCAGAGTCTCCTGGAAGGTCCGAAGGCGTAGGCGGGCAGGGGGCGGGGCGGGGACCGGTGGCGAGAGGGGGGTGTCCCTCGGACCCGCCCCCGGCGCTCTCCAATGGCAAGGAGGGAGGTTGGCCCGAGGGGCGGGGTCTCCAGGGAGTGGCAGCAGTCCCCCCCACAGCTCCGCCCCGCCCCTCGGGGTCCCGCGCGTTCAGCCCGCCCTGCGTTCTGCTCTCCCGCCTGCGGTTAGCTGCAGCATCCCTGCTTCTCTCAGAGACTTTTGCGGAAACCCAGCTGGGGGCGCTTTAATTTTTTGCCCTTCACCTCCGTGCCTTCCTCTTGCTCACCCACAAACCGCGGATCTTCCAAAACCTCGTTTTCTGAGGATGCCCTGGGATTTCCCCCCTCTCCTGGTCCCATCCCCTGTCGTCCTGAACTTGGGGCGTTGGAGGTGTGGGAGGAGGCTGCGCTAAAGTACTAAATAGAGTGAAGCGGGGTGCGGGCGGGCTGCAGCCAGCCGACCCGCGCGCCTGCGCACAGCTGCCCGCCTTGGGGCTCCCGGGTCAGTCGTCGGTGGGCGCCACCCCGGAACCCCAGCTGGCCTTTCCCTCTTCACTTTCCTCTCCTGGCGTCCCAGCCTCCGTCGCTGGCGTGGGTCGCTTTGAAAGTGGAGAAGTGAGAGAGCAGAGTTAGTACTGCACGTAAGGTTGAAAGCAGATGCTAACGGTGGTTTTGTTGTTGTTGTTGTTTTGTTTTGCTTTTAAAATTCTTTTAAAATTACCGGTCGTTCTGCAGTTAAGGCTCCATGCGAGGTTGGTTCTTTCTAGTTCCCTAATTAACGAGTAATGAATTCCATGGTTGCCCACGCACGCTATTTGGAAACGCTGGGGGCGATATCTATGGTTGAAAGTGGCACTGGACAACATTTCCTCCTTTTTTTTCCCCTTTAATTCGAAAAGTCCACTGCACATATTTGAGGGGAGAGAGCGTGAACGAGAGCGGGGAAGTCCAGATCCTCCGCCTTGCCTTGTCAGTATTGGTATGACCAGGATTGGTACCCACGCTTCTCTGGTGTCCGTTTCCTGATTTGAAACAAACAAACAAACAAACAAACAAAACCCAACCAAAACGGAGATGGGACTATGATGTGATTTCCAAGACTGTTTTCACCTTTGACATTTTGTGAACCGGAGGTTTTCTAGAATACAGTGGATGGGGTTGGGAGTGGGGATGTGAAACCGGGAGAATAAAGTCCATTCAAGAGTGCTTGCTGTAGGCCAACTTATTGCAAAGGGCATATCTCCTTTGGATAAACAATTTCGCTTAAAGCTAAAGAAACAAATACCGTTAAGGATAGAGGAAAAAAGCACTTGGTTCTGTCCGGGTCTGCATATCAAGTTGAGCCAAAGGTACCCCCGAAAGTAGGTCTGCATAATTAAGACATAAATATGCAAAAATTTTATCCCTAAAACTGCCAGAAAGAGACCATGTCTAAAATTAAGCCTGTTTGGCATCAACTTCTTCCCTCAGTTCAGGTTTGCTGCAGCCCTAGTCAGCAAGTGGGCATGCATATGGTGTGTATACACACACACACACACACACACACACACACACACACACACACACTACACGAGCACCTGGTATGGGCCAGACCCTGTGCTTTATGTTCTGGCATTGGCAACAGGGCAAAGCATTGAGCCAGTCCATTCCCCAACTCTCTCCACCAGTCCATCATAAGTGGATTTTCCAGAAGCTACATTTCAAAAAACATCGCTTAGAAATTATCTGCAGGAGCAGTTGTCAGGGCCACTTTGTCTTTTTGGTAAAAAAAAATTAATAAATAAAAAATCCACTGCTATATTAAAATGGATTGATCTAGCAATATATCTCTCTCATAAATTCAGCCTGTCATTTTTACTTTTTTATACCTTTGTTAAAAAGAAAACCGGAGACCCAAGGTGGAGTCACTAACCCCCAGGACGACAAACCAAGACTTAATTGCAATTTCAGCCTCTCTAGGAGTGGAATTTTAAGCAAATCAATCTGGAATTTTCTGGTCAGTACCAATTAGGAAACCTGTCGCTTGGGCCTTCTCCATCCTTTCCGCACTACACCACCAAAGGCAGATGAGATAATCTGCAGGATAAGGCCTCCTACCTTTCCTCTTTAAAGGAAAGAGACCTTGCCAGAAATAATCTTTTCTTTCTTTTGCTAATAACTTCTTGGCCCAACCTCCTTCCTATAAAAACCTTCCATTTTCTACAACTCCTCAGTTTGCTAGATGGGATGCTACCTGGTTCATGACTTGCTTAATAAAGCCAATGAGATGTTCAAATTATTGAGTTGAATTTTGTTTTTTAACACCTTCAACTAAAACTTTTGATCAAAATATGAATGTATATAGCTCCTTTATTTAGAATGAGAACAACTATACCATATTTAAGCGACCATATAAATTAGGAGGGGAATGAATTTTTTGTAGTGATATGTTGGTAGGGGTTCTAATAAAGATCCATTTTGGGAGGTTTGGATCTCTTTTGAGATCTGCTAATTGGTAAGGAAGTTTTTCACTCTTTAATCACTCCTCAAAATTAGTTAAAACTTCTGGGCTTTACATATATGGCTGACTGAGAAAGGATATATGCAGAAATTAGGATTCTGGAAGCAAATACTGTTTTTGCAATATATTGATATGATTAGCTTTCTATTTAAAACAAAATATTTCATTAAAAATTAATGTTGTTATTATGAAATATACACACAGAACAATGCACAAAACAAAGGTGCCCAAGCCATTGATTTATCACACATCGAACATTTATATGGTTCACACTCACCTCAAAACAGTCAGAACAGACATGCCAACTAAATGCAACCTTTATTGCTAGAGAAGATCCTAACCTAAAAAAGTCAGAGAATTGTTGGACAGCAGAATTTCAGTATGGTCTGTGAGTTAGACATTAGTTTGTACCAATGTTAATTACCTGATTGTAGAGGTGTATGCTGATTATAGAGAAGGATGTCCTTGTTTTTCTGTTGTTTGTTTTGCTTTGAGAGGGGAGAGCATACATGCAGTGTTTAGGAGTGATGAGACATCGTATCTGCAACTTGTTCTCAAAAGCCTCAGAAAAGGAATGACAATAATGGGGGTAAATAAATAACAATGGAACAAAC